ACTGGTTTATTGCGGCTGCTGAAGTTCTCTTGGAGAGTCAACTAATTTCTAAGTTAAATTCAAATCTCTCTGGTGCTGAAATTACAAGTAATTTCAGCACTTACAAATAAGTGGGTTGTTAGTTAGATGGATCATGATTGGTTAATATTAAATACTTTACAGTGGTAAAATATCTAATTTAGCCAATCATAAAATGTAGTTTAGATCAGGTTCCATAACATCACTCTGTACTTATAGCTTGTGGCGTGGGGTGGTTTATGAAACTCTTTTTTTTTGAAATTTGACGATGAATGGCAGTCGGAAAATTCAGAACTACGAGCAGTACTTATTGATGGAGCTATTTGAACTACTTATTGATGGAGCTATTTGAAAGCGTGAGAAAAAATAACAGCCAAATGTCCAATAGTTCAATAGTAACAACTCAATAGCGATAAAATATAAAGTTTAGGTTATAAGCAATTTCTTGACAACTGCAGCGCTAAACCCTTATCGCTCAGCATTTTGCCATTGGTTAACTTGCCAGTTTAGCTCAAATTACTGAAGCTGTCAACCTGAATTTTTTTAATACAAATAAAGCTGTCGAAACCAAACAATTTGAACAATTAAAATGCTCGGTAGTTGTACCAGTTATGTTAAAAGTTTCAAAGTTTAGTGGTCTATTGTCATGACAAAAAGTCTGAATACGCAAAAATTTTAACGCCCCCATAAACTTTCATAATTGACAGATTTCTTTTGTTTATATTTTTCGAAATTTTATAAACTGATTTCTGATTGGCTGACTCAATTTCGGGCTTTCTGGGGTTTTCTTCAGCTGAGATAGCGCTGAGGCCAAAAATATCTACCGAGCATAATGTCTTGATTCAAATTGCGGCCAAGTTCCCTCATTTTAACCTGAATTTTAACGCAAAATTATTAATTGTGTTTGAATAATTCACAGCTAAGTTAATGTTAGCGACAGACAAAAATGCTGTCACAAAATCAACATCAAGACAGACAGGTCGAGACAAGGTCATTTTTGTTTTGTTACAAGCATTCGCAACAGTGCAGAAATAATGCGTGTCTGACAAACAATTGAAACCCAAATCTATCTGGAAAACTTTTCCTAACATGACAATGTTGGGAAACACTCATTAGTTTGTTTAATATATTACCAAGTATGAAACGTCGCTATTGAAACTTTTATTACTCTGAACCGGCGATCAGTTATTGAACTCGTTGCTCTTGCGCAGGATAAATTTTTTTACAATACGAAGTTTTCTACAAAATCACACAATTTTTTGTCAATTTTTGGTTTGTTTTTATTGTAATTGTCCGTTGAAATAAAAGCATAAGTTAATGATGTTCAACATGATGTATTTTATTGTTTTATTATGTTTATTGGCCTCAGTTTTTATTTTTGTTTCAACAGGTTTTTTGCTATTCAAAACTAGCCCGGCAGTCATGGATTTGTATGCATTTATCAGTCTCCTGCCAGTTGCACAGATTGCGCTCAGCGTATAAAGCATAGCTCAGCAAAAAAAAACTCAAACTGGAACCTGATCTAAACTACATTTTATGATTGGATAAATTAGATATTTTACCAATGTAAAGTATTTAATATTAACCAATCATGATCCATCTAACTAACAATCCACTTATTTGTAAGTGCTGAAATTACTTGTAATTTCAGCACCAGAGAGATTTGAATTTAACTTAGAAATTAGTTGAACTCTCCCGAGTACTTCAGCAGCCGCAATAAACCAGTATACCCTAGATCTATTGAGCCTAGCAGAGACTAGTTAAACAACCTGAGACTAGATAGTATAAGAGTAAGACTAGGATCGGTATTAGACTAAGAAGTTGCACGAATCTATCCGGCCGAAAATAAGATAGCGTGACGAGCAGACGGTGTACCCTATCCGAAATTACTCTGAAATTTTTCCCCCACCAGCAGTAAATCTAATAATGATGAAAATTTGTAACTTAATTTCCCCCAACAACTAGCAGTAAAATTAAAATTCTATGTAGTAAATTCATAAGAAGCAAAAGCAGTACTAACCTTTTGATATTTTCATTCACTCGCATAAGAATTCTATCCACACTCGCACAGCTCGCCCACGAAGAATTGTTTAAAATAATGAATTTCAGTTTCAAGCTTTCACACTCGATAACTCTAACACAAGATAACACGTTTCAAACTTTCCTTTAACCCGGTTGGAAAGGAATTATATACTAAACAAAACTAACCAATGCAGCTTACTAAACACCACAACACATAGCATAACAGCATGACTAAGAAAAGGAAACCAACGGTACCCAAACCGGATTAACCCAGTTTAAAACTGGATAATTTATTCTTTTGAAGACTATTATAAAGTCTAAGAAAGAAATAATAAAACACAAAAAAGTCGAAAGACAAACCCATACCACAAACAATTTGATTTTTGAAAAAAGGACACAACCAACAAAACATAAGAAAAACCACAACAAACCCAACATAAAACGTTGTCACATAACAGGACCTCTCACAAAAACCGCATGCAATCATACTCCCACTCCTGGCCTAACCCACCAGGAAGGACGTCCTGAGCATGCTCTATAGCCGGCCTAACCCACCGTGCTACATCCACGCTTTGTGACCACACTCCTATTTTTAATAAGAGCTACTCAAGGGTGAGTAACTCTTCAAAATAACTGAACTAAAACAAAAAGCTTTTGTGAAAACAACTAACTAAAATCATAATTAAAAAATATTAAACTAATAAAAGTTTTATAAAATGTAAATTACATTATGCAATACATAGATCAGAATACAACACCAAGGACGAACATCCAAAGACAAAACGACCCTACTACACTCGAGAAAGAATGGCCAACTACAATCAATATGCCGCCCACAATCACAACTCAAAGGATTTAGAGTACGACTTGACTTCGCAGAAAAGGACTTCATTGAACTAGACCAATGACCACCTCGATGTTCAAGTATACGTACAGATCCGAGTAACCAGGCATCCCCACCACGCACAATCTCCACGCCATTCCCAGACAAGGTCAAACACAAAGAAGTTCTCACCAATGAAACAGAAAAACCTGACATAGCCAACCATTCTGAAATCAGATTTGAGTTTGTTGCGAAAACCCAGTCGTTGTCTTGAGAAGACACAATGATTGAATCTGGGACTTCTCTAATAAGAAAACCCAGAAGAAATAAGATGTTCGCCAAATACCAACGTCCATCATCCATCTTTCGAATTGCAGAAAAACTATTCTAAAAAACTCTGTAAAACCCGGATGGGTGGAACCTGATCTAAACTACATTTTATGATTGGATAAATTAGATATTTTACCAATGTAAAGTATTTAATATTAACCAATCATGATCCATCTAACTAACAATCCACTTATTTGTAAGTGCTGAAATTACTTGTAATTTCAGCACCAGAGAGATTTGAATTTAACTTAGAAATTAGTTGAACTCTCCCGAGTACTTCAGCAGCCGCAATAAACCAGTATACCCTAGATCTATTGAGCCTAGCAGAGACTAGTTAAACAACCTGAGACTAGATAGTATAAGAGTAAGACTAGGATCGGTATTAGACTAAGAAGTTGCACGAATCTATCCGGCCGAAAATAAGATAGCGTGACGAGCAGACGGTGTACCCTATCCGAAATTACTCTATGAGTTATACACTTCGGGCATAACTCAAAACAGACAGTCTGTACAATTTTGCTTTGTACAATTTTTTGATGAGAGTAAGCATCAACATAATATAAAACATACGCCAACCAAAAAGCCTTGTATCTTATAACCCGTTTCCCTAATTCCTTTTTTCGGCAGTCTTAAAACCAGAGTAATTTTCTTTGCATTTAAAATCAGACTCAGTTTTTTTCGAAAGATATGCAGACAAAGTTTAGAAAAAACTAAAACTGCATTGCAAATCAGATCTCAAAATCTATTGATATGATATACGCAAATGATATTATACCACATTGAATTCTTCTATCAATCAACAAAAAACATACTAATTAATAATTGTTGTCGGGATTACTTTTTTATTCAGACCACTTTTACAAAACTCTGGTCCCTCGGGGGATCGATCTCTTGATCTGAATGTAGCCAATCGAGTGTGCACACAACTATATTAACCTATATTAAGAATATGTACGAAACTGTTTTTTTAATTATCCTGCGCAAAAAAATCGTCCCCAATTGAATTGAGGCAGCTAATTGGTATTATTAACTCCATACACGATTCAAATTGCAACACTTAAATAATGACATTACCAGCCTGAAGTTCATATTTTTGCCAGTATTTAATTTTCCAAAAATTACCTGAGACCAATTAAAGTAAAAACGGAACAGTCAAAGCTTTGTTTTGATACGAGCAGTCTTGTTTATACATGTTTGCATAAGGAACTCGCATTTCATATCTGCTGTTTAAGAAATTATAAACAGATAGTCATGCAGTCGCCACCGAAAATAATTTTAATTGTTCCGACTTTCGAGAAAAGTGACGGATTGTTTGGGCTCGGGTAATTTTTTCTCCAGACCATTTTCGACTTTATAACAAGAAATTTATGACGGAGTTTTTTTTTATTGTTGTCCTGGGCTCAAACTTAAAAAGACATTTCACCCGTGATCATTTTCTGTTAAGTTATGGGGGTGTATAGCTTGCCATTGAGGAGTATTTAACTCGCGATATATTTCGTGCTATTAGCGCTTGAGCGCAGATATAATTGTTCCAATTATAATTCAGATATTTTTTGGTCTATTTGATACTTTGCTATATGCTAAATTATACTTAGCGTGTGGAAGCACGGTTTTAAACAAAAATCTCAAAAAGAATCTAATATATATTTTTTGAAATTCATCATTTTTTTTAAAAAAAACACTCCACAATAGAGCTTTAAAGGCAGTAGGAACTTTCAGGGCTTCGCCCTGATACGAGCAGTTTTGTTATTAATAAGTAACAGACATCTATTGATTTATTGGGGAATGGGAATTTCGTTTTTTCTTTATTTATGTTTTGGTAGTGAACTTTCTATAACACACTTCTAATTTGAAAAACTAAACTCTTCAAAAAGCAATTGATTCGACTACATTTGTTCACATCGGACACACATGCTAACAGACCGGCTAACTGACATTGGCTACATAGGCTAATTGACTCACATGCTAATAGACCGGCTATTTGACATTGGGTACAAAGGCTAGTTAACACACATGCCAATAGACCGGCTAACTGGCATTGGCTACACAAACTAATTGATACACATGCCAATAGACCGGCTAACTGGAATTGGCGACACAGGCTAATTGACACACATGATGCTAATAAACCGGCACTTACAAATATTCTATGTTTATATATGTGTGTAATTATATATTGTGTTTTTCTTTTCAAATTTTGCGTTTTGTGAGTTGTGATTGACTGATGGGCAAATGAATAAAGTCGGTCATCAACTTTGTAAGTCTTTTGTGTGATTCGATTCATTCAGTCGTGAGTTAGTGATTGATTGACTTCTTATTTGGTCGTAGTCAGGTTGCCATTAATTTGCTTTCAGAGACCAATCCGCGAATTCTGTCTAGGGAATCGGCGCTGATGTGTTTAGTTTAGTCTGCAGCCATGGTGAAGTCGGCGTCTGCCTCGGTGTCTCTGACCAGTTTCTGAACATGCGCGTACTCTCTCTTGCTCTTTTCGTCCAACATGAGCGGACGCTGCACGAAGTAAGTTGTCATCTCGCGTTCCTGAAAAGAATACGTTATAAAATTTAGAAAAAGTTTCAGGCATTACGAAGACACTGAGACAACTTATCAACATAAAAAAACTGAATTTTTTTAGCAATAATAAAATTTACGACGACTTACTTGCGGGGGAAAAATCAACATACGCGTTGTTTCCGAGAGCCGCTGTTGTGACCATATGTAAGAACTACATGCTTTTTGTTATTAATTAATCTGGGCTTGCGTTATGTTGCATACTCAGACCATAGCGGGCATCGAAAGAAGGACCATTCGATTGAGAGACAAAAATACGAGTGAGGTAAAAAGCAACATACGAAATGCTCGACTGTTGAGCTCTTTGCTATAAGAACTTAATGCTTCTTAATTATTTTTTTTCTGGAGCGAATAATGTTGCCTCACCCTCAAATATTATATACATGCACGGATCATGGAGCCTGCAACAACCGTTTTTTATAATTAGTTAAGCAAAATATAAAATAGTCGGCGAATCTGATTTTTAAGTTTCTGTTAAGTACGGGTTAACGCTCTGTCAGCAGTATTGTATACTCCCGTATAATAATCGGTCATTTTAAATCAATTAGGAATGGAAAAGGGTTTGGACGATATGGTTTGTATCATGAATTATCATTTTATAGTGATATTGAGAGACTATTTTGAGAATAGTGGTGAATTTAAGTTAATTTTTCTTGAATAACAGTCAAGATTATCTTGGTTAAAAAATTGCAAAAAAAATTGAAAATGAGTTTAATATAAATATAATTGTATACGATTGTCTAACGAGGAATTGGATTTTGTCCTGTCTCTTTTCAAATATGTAGGTCGTCTTGCTCAGCAATTTCTTCGTGTCTTCGGATACTTGCACCCTGTCTGGCTGAAAAAAAAATAAAATCACATCAATCAGAAGCGAGTCGTGAATCATTTTGAGAACACAGTGCTGATTTAAATTATCTGGACAAAACGAACAAAACTTGGTGATATATTACAATAGGTGGTAATTTCGAGTATAGTGCATATATTCAATTTGAGAACTCTAATGCATACCCGCAACGGAGTTCCATGGATAATAATCGATTTTAATGAAAAATTGTTGTCTAAAATGTGGTCATTATAATCCATTATTGTTGCAAATTTAGACCATGAAATCGATTATATTGTCAATATAATCGATTTTTTTTTCGTAAAATCACAATCCATCAAAATCCAATATGATGGATTATAATCCATTTAAAATCCATTATAATTGATTATAACGTGTTATAATCTTTACAATTTTTTGCAAAATCATACCCAAAACTTGCAACATTTCTGCGTTACTCACGGCCTACTCGCAATCTAAACATACTCAAATTAACCCCCCCTCACTTTGGCCTCCATCCTCATTTGCCCCCCCCCCCCCCGCCTCACTACTTTTATCCCTTATAGAAAAAGTAGAGAAAACTTAAATAAATAAAATCTCATCAGAAATGTGAAAATTTCTGCAAAGTAATATGTAGCAACTGCACGAAACAGGGAAAAGAGATAACTTTGAAAAAAAAATTGCAAAATTCATAATTATTCTCGAAAAATACATTATAATTGATTTTAATATTTTATAATGGATTATTTTGATTGAAAAAATTTCATGATTATAATCCATTTTTAATGGATTATATTGATTAAAATCGATTTAATGGATTATATTGATATAAAAAATACTAGGATTAGAATTTTTTTAATGAATAATAATCGATTCTTTTTGGAATTTTATAGATACTGACAATAAAACGACAAAATAATCGATTATTATCCATGGAACCCCAGGGCGGGTAAGATAGTCATTTTATTTTCAATCAACTGTACTACTACTAAGATACTTTTTGTAAATACATTACTCTGCCAGATGAAATGCTATTCAAAATCTTAAAATTTGCACTTCTGTTGCCAAAAAATTTGGCTTATAAAATAAATTTCAAATGATGTGCCACGTAAATCAGAAAGCGATCCAGCTATTCACATTGAACCTACCAGATATTGTGATATATCACACAAAGCTTGAATTTTCAAACGCATTTTCTCAATTTGGGTTAAGATAAGACAAAAAGGGAAAAGAACAAAAGCTACTTAGAATTTCATCAGAATTAATATGGTGCAATTTTTTCTCCGGAGTTCTCCACAAAAATTTACCCAAAAATAGGTTTTTTGGTTTTTTTCATTTAATCAAAAATTACTCTGAAATTAATTCAATAATTGATAAGAAGTAAATATCACAAGAAGCCTCTTACACAGCCCAACAAAGTTCTAAAATATTTAAATCTCCAAAAACCTGTATAAGAGAAAATAGTTTTGCTTGATTTTCAAGAAACGTGATTTATATTTTACAAAACCCAAAATCTTTGCTTAAAAACAAATTTTAAACAGTTTACTCAAACTTTTGAAGATTCAACCTGTCTGGAACTTTGTTGGGTTGTGTAAAAAGCTTCTTAAGATAAATTTTTCCTAAAAATTAACAAAGTAGTAAGTGTAATTATTGATTTTTGAAAAAACCAAAATGACCCATTTGTGGGGTAAAATTTTGGTTGAGACTTTCGGAGAAAAAATTGCATTTTTGTCTAATTTTAACCCAAATTGAGAAAAGCGCGTTTAAAAATTCAAGTTTTTTAGTTTTGTTCGGATAATTTAAATCAGCACTGTACAAATACATCAAACAGTGAAAACTTTAAAATTATTTCCTGAAGCAAACTTTTGACAAGAAAAATTAGTTCTTCACTCAAAATAATGAAAGCAGATTAATTTTCAGAAGTAAGTGTCCAAATATAAAGCCACAGTGATAATACTTTCGTTTTTGGACAGATGTTTTTTAAACTTTTGTCTAGATCTGATACAATGATCTTATAACAAAATGTCTTGCAGATATTCAACAGTAATTTTTGTTCAGACTTTCGAAGAAAACGGTCGGTTTCTTCGAAAGCCTCAACAATGCTTGGTATGGGTTTTTTTCATTCAATTTTCGCCGATCGAAATAATAGTTTTCGACAAAAAAATTTTTATACTCCATTGGAGATATTGACTTCCTTCCAAATCGTTCCAAATTGAATTGAGGCTAGCTAACTGGTCTTATTAATCTCGCACGACTCAAAATTTTACACTTTGATTTTGTCCAAAATTTACAGGTTTTCAATATTTCCTTTTCCCAAAAGCTATTCGAAATGGCTTAAGGGACAGTCGGAACACTCAGGGCTTTGCCCTGATATACGAGCAGTCTTGTAAGGTTTAAGATTAGGTTTACTTTTCTCCGGTTTTCAGATTGATTCGAACCAGATTTCGTTGATAATGGTATTTAACGCCCCCTCGCACTTTCCACTATTTTAAATTAGGCGTCAAAAATTGCCCTGCATTTTCAACGGACATACAGTATATGAAATATTAGACGCAACATATGAGCAGGGCGAATTATGCCACTAAAGTAGAGAGGTTAGAAGACTCTTTTTCACTCCCCCAACATTTGAATTTCAGTTTTGGAAAACTATTTTTAAAGTTGTCAAAATGTAATTAAATTATGCAGGGTGAACAAACTAGCCATTGCAAACACATTTGTTCTTCATATATTACATCGTAACATCACGCATTCAGCCTTAATAAGACGTAAGACAACTGAGAAAATCAAAAATTTGAAATGTGTGTGTGTGTGTGTGTGTGGGGGGGGGGGGGGGGGGGGTTGGAAAAATGGCGGGTAGAAGTATGTGAAGACCGGTAAATTTGTGAACATGAGGAAAATATGAAGTGGGTCTTCTTTCTTACCATTCCACTGCTCTCCATGAGGTTTGCAATCTGGACTGACTTGCCGAAGAGACAGTAGCGGGGCATCGTCATCCCCACTATGCCCGCAATTGCACTACCGGAGTGCACACCTGAATAAATTTAAAACCAAGTCAATCAAAGAGGGTTATATTTACCAACTTCAGCTGAAATAGTTGTACAACGTGAAAATTCGAGACGTAAAAACGGCCTTGAGTCGCAAAAAAACAGCTTAGCTTAACAAATAACTCAGTCTGGAATTCGGGTAATTAATTCAAACCGATTATGGCTAGAAAAGCCTGGTAGTTTTTCATAGATCTTCTGCAAAATGCGGAAAATCAACAAGAATGGCCGATTACTGTGCAAGTAGCACAGAATGTTCCGACTAAAGTCGTAAAAAATACTAGAAAAACATTGTCTGATTGTTTAAAAAAAAGGCAAGCGGAACGGGGGCGGATGTAGGTTTTTCTCGAGGGGAGGGGTTGAATTTAAAAAATTTTCAAAAAACTTAATTGACTTGAAATTCAATAAGCATGGCCGATTACTGTGCAAGTAGCACAGAATGATCCGACTAAAGTCTTAACAAATAAAACACAATTTTTATTTTTTCAAATTATTTTCGTTTTTTTTTTCGGCGTGGTGTGATCAAAGCAGCTGAACAAAAAACTGGAGATTAGTTATATTTGACAGCCATACTAAAATAAGCAAATTGAAAACAATTTTTGTAGAAGTAACAGAAAAACGAAAAAAAACTATTTTCGAAATTTTTTTGCGGTTACTCGAATTTTTGATTCCAAAAAGGCGCTAAAATACTCAAAGTAAACTAACGTTACCAAAGTAAAACTAAGTTTTTACATATTAGTGTTACGTTTTTGCATCGCGTTTTAAAGAATCTTCCCAGAATATTGCTAAATCTTAAAGGATAACCCTCCTTGATCAACCAGGTAAGAATTGCAAAAAAATCGGACTGGAAGATTTAATTAAAAGAGTGAAAGACCTATTTTAGAAACTTTTTGCATGCAAAACCTGCATGGACAAAATTCATGACAATAGATCACCTGAAAACTCAAACTTCCCTGCAAAATGTGCTCAGAATCTCATTATTGCGTCTTAAGTTAGTTTTGTCTCGACAAACAAAACTTTGAATGCACGGTTATTATATCACAAAAATGAATAAAAGCAAAAACTTCTTAGTCAACATCATATACGAATTGAAAAATTGATTAGTTTGGGCTGTATAAGGTTACTTTTATAAAATCACAAAAAAATCACAAATTGTTTTCCACTTTTGTTTCCATGAGAACAATTTATGTTCACACTGTCTGGTTGTTTAAAAAAAGGTATGCGGATCGGGGGCGTTGAACGGGGGGAGTGTAGGATTTTCTCGAGGCGGGGGGGGGGGGGTTGTAGGATTTTTCAAAAACTTTGTTGACTTTTTATAGGTAGTCGAAATTGATTTTCCGAGCTCTCCTAATGCACTAAAAAACCCTTTTTTGGCCAAATTTTGAAAACAACAGGAACGACTTTGTAGTGCAACATAATTTGCCACGCATAAATACTGTGCATTAATCTTTTTATATCAAAAGATTAAACAAGAAGTTTTGTTAGTTTCTTGTCAGGTTAATATAGCGGTGTGCCGTCTTTTTATGTGAAAATTGTTTTCAAAGAGCATATATTCTCCTCATTTTCTTACAAGTCGGAGCAATAATGAGAGATAAAACAATGCACATTGATGACTACGAAAAAAGTTGCCTGATGTGAAAAAAAAATGTCGTGTAAACAAGAGATTCAAATTATGGAAATTTTTTAAGAATTTGAGTTGAGTTTACAATAACTCCAGCACAAGAAACTCAAAAACATCAAAAGTCGGCTAGAGAAGTTCATAAAGCTGATGTTTTTGCTCATGTTATCGATGACTTTGAGCAGAAAGATGTCTGAGTTGAATTTGTTCGAAGAGCTCGTAATAAATAGTTAAAAAGGAAAAAATTTGATTTTTCCGCTGAATACTCAGTTTTTTTATATATAAAGTTGTCTCGTTTCATTCTGGCCTACCTACGGAATTTTTCGAAAAGAAAAATGAGCATAAATGCACCCTTCGGTCGAAGATAGTCGAAACATAGACAGCTTGGGTCAGGACGATCGAAACATACCATTTTTGGTCGAGTCGGTCGAAACAAATCACAAACCTCGGCCCGGGTTTTCATTCGTACAAACTTACTCCCTCTTCGAACGATTGTGACTACATGCTACCTTAGGTGTCGCATTTTGGCACAACTTTCTATATCTGTTTTTGACCGATCAAGCCTAGTTTTTTCTAAGAGTTCCTTTGGCATCAAAGTATAATAATTCGCCTTCTATTGTATCAATTTATATAAATTTATTTTATACAGCTAAAATACCTCAAAAACGGCATTTTGCTTAAGTTTGACATTTTTTTCCCATTGGCGAATTTTTGCAAGAACCTTATTTGTTCTAATTGACCTATTTTTATAAACGTTTGCATGCAAACTAAAAAGACCATAATAATCAGATGTAATGATGATAGATTAATCTGTAAGGTCAATTGATGAAATTGAAAAATGATGTCTGATGTGAAAAAGGAAAGTTCGGATGATCATTCGGGAGAAAAAATTATCGAATTTTTACCATCTTCATCATTGCGTTCATTAAATTACAATAAGACGGTAGGAATACCTCCAACAGAAAAGGACCTGCCAAAAAGTGACACAACAGCCAAAATAAATCAAGAAAAGAACATTTCTATTATTCTACACATGATTTTGTGCGAAATTTTGATTATGTTATATTATTTGGTGAAATGCGCAAGAAAAAAAGAAATAAACAGGAAACATTTGCCGCTTCCATTGATGAATTTGTGAATTCATCAAAATAATCAAACTTCTTCTGATGGATTGGTTCTATCCATCCGTACCCCCACGAACATTTTTTACAAGAAAGATGGGTGGAAACCCAACCCACAGGGGCAGACTTAGGGGGGCTGGGCGGGGGGTCCCCTTTGTACTATTTTGAGATAACCATATTTGGTGACGAACCCTAAAAATTTTCTAAAGGAGCCTTCGGCGCCAATATATACTAATTTTGAGGGGGGAGCACGCGCCGAAAAAACGCGATTTTTTGGTCAACATTTTTCAAAAAAGCTTAAAAAATCTTTTTTGGCCTACTTTTCAAAATTTTGTCTGCGGCGCAGAAAATTTCACCAAAACACGGCCTTTTTAGTGCTCTGGTAGAGCTCAGAAAATCAATTTTGTCGACCTGAAAAAATGGTCGACTTTTGAAAATCCGCCCCCACCCCCTCGAGAAGAACCTAGATCCGCCCCTGCCAACCCACTCATCATGATTCTCTCTCTCTAAACCCCCTCTCAGGAATTTGAAACTCCCGCGGCCTAAAGCTTAGCTTGTTTATGAACTCATACAACATCACTTTTTGGCTGATTAGGCCTAATTTTTTTAAAGGCTTCTTTGGCACAGATATGCGGCTATTTAACTTATATAACTGCAATTCCCCAAACTTTTGCATTTTTGGTTTGAATTAAAAATAATTTGTTCTCAAAATAGTTGCCTAAGTTTGGTCTTTTATCGCGTTACAGGAAAACTCAGAAAAAAATTTTCGGTCATCACATACATGGTGAAAAAACTATTAAAATACTCAGCTGAAACTAGCGGTAACTAAAAGGGTGAAATTTTTTTTGAAAAATGTCAGTTCAAACTAGCTACCCCAAAAAACTCAAGATCCGCGTTGATCGAATACTTCAGAGCTATTAAATTAAAAAAACTTGGCCATAGTACTGGACCTGCTCTGATCTGGAGGTTGTCTCCGTTGGGCGTGGTGATCATGCCGGTGGCCATGACCATGTGGAGTGCCATCTCCAGGGCATTCACAGGGTGTTCCTGGTTCTCATTCGGACACCCTCCCACCCCCATGTATGCATCTCCTATAGTCTCCACCTTAGAAAACATAGACATTTGCTTCAGAATTTTGTGAACAAATTATAATCTATGAAGACAAAAGTTACTAAAAATTAGTATTGTTTTTCACTGCTTTGTGTGACTTTTAACGCAAAGAAAGTTAGTGAATAGGGCATAATCCAAAACATTTGTTTTCAAAAAATTTAAGACTAACAAAAATGAAAAAAAAAATGTAGATGTTTTCAAATTTTTTGCCCATTCAGATATTTTTCAAATTCAAATTCAGATATTTTTGCCCATTCAGATATTTTTCAAATTCAGATATTTTTCAAATGTAGATGTTTTCAAATTTTTTAAATTTTTCAGATATTTTTCATTGCCAATGGAACGCTAAAAAAACGGGATTTAATTTTAGAAACATCAAGTTTTGTAATCCGCATCGAGCGCCCATGTATCATAGATGATTATATTGTCATAATATGGTCAATATCTATAAATTTACAAAATAATCGGTTATAATCCATTAAAAATGGATTATAATCATAATAATCCATTATTATTAATTATACTCAATTAAAAAAGGTTTATAATCTGCCTTTTTTATGCCCTTGCCTTATAATCCCTTATGATCAATTGTAATGGATTATAATGGATTTTTTTGAGACATTAATCATGAAATTTACAACTTTTTTCAGAGTTAAGTTATCACATTTCCTGTTTACTTTACCCTCCAACCTGCAAGCTGTTTACTTTACGGCCCTCCTCTCCCCCTTTATAACCCCCTTGTGCCCTTGTTTGTTTGCTATAGTTGAACACGGGGGGGGGGTTATTTGTTGGTTGATTTTGGGGAGGGGGTTAAAGATTGACACCCCGAGTTTACCACCCCACCCCCTTATATGGGAGGAGGTATGTTGTGATTTAGTATTTTAGTATGTTATAACCTTGACCTCTATTACCTAATTATTGTAGTCAATGTTCACTCTACGAAGTCCAGTGGACTTCGGATCACTAGTTGCTCTTTTTAGACTACAGTCAGTTATAATTCAAACAATACTTTTATTCTCTTTTAACTTTAGTTAGATACATTAGTACCAGTGGTAAACCTACACGTTTTTTATGGCGCAGTCAACAACTGATTCGAACCTGCGGGAAATACCCGCCTTTTCGCCGAACCACACGGTAGAACCTCCCACCCAATGGAACAACTGGATAGACCAATTCCATTTGGCTATCATTGCGAAGGAAAATTTAGACATAGACAACCTCAAAGAACCAGTGGAAGGGGACACGACGTTACCGATCCTAGAAGGCGCCCAGGAGTCAGAAAAAAGAAGGCGCCGACAAAAAAGTAAGGTCAATCCTATACTTGGCCTTAGGAGCGGAAGGCAAAAGAGTTTTCGCCCAGAAACATCCAAGGGTAAAAGTCCTAGGAATCTCAATCAAGGAATTTTACGAACTGCTAGAATCGGCTTTTATCAAACCAACCAACATAACATTTGAACGATATAAATTATTGAGCAGGAAACAAAAGGATAGAGAATCCTATGAGCAATTTTGGGGCGCGTTATCAGATTTAGCAAGATCATGTGAAATTAGAATTAATGCAGAACAGGAGTGGATCAGAGACGTATTTATTTTTAACATGAAAAATTGCGACTTACAACGTAGACTACTTTCGGAAACTCTCAATCCATTGGATGCACTGAACCAAGCAATCATCGACGAAAAAGGCTATTATAACCACCTCAAATTAACCAATATGACTAGATCTTTCAACACGACAGGAAGTAGCGGGAGAGTGTATAAAAATGAGGGATAATTTTGTCTCGGGAATCCATTTTAATCAATTAAATTCCATGGGTGCTCGGTACGGGAAGCTCAAAAACCTAAAAAAATTTATTTTTCATATAATGAACGTTATTCGATTGCTTTTTTGAATAGCATTTGATTTAGCTGAACAATGAGTTTACAAAAATTACCTTACAAGTAGTACAATTTATTGAAAATGAAATGACTATATTATGCATTATAGTTCTCAAATTTAATACATGCACAATAGTCAAAATTACCACGTATTGTAACATATCACCCACTTTACTTGCTCGAAATTGAATTTAAATTCAAAAATCTTAAATAAAATTTTCTCGCCATTGGGTCAATTATTAAACGTTTTTAAATATCGTTCAACTCACGAGTGAAGCAGCTTTTATTTGAATGATATATCACTCGAGCCATTCCGATGGTTATTTTTGGTACCAAATTTGCGTGAAAAACAAAAACTAAACAAAAACTGAAACACACCCAAATACAAAATCCCTCCCCATTTTAATCGTCGGACCAATAAGGCACGAGCACGATATCCGATATTCAATTGAATTTTTCAACAATGTGTCTTGAAATTTTAATCCACGGATCCGAAGAAATTTGTTTTTTGGTTTGCGATTGGTTGCAATTCGGTTCTCGTACGAAAGTCAATTTTAGTCAAATCTATCTTAAGCACAATCTTAACAACTAGAGTCAGCAGTTCTTATGCAAGTTGCAGAGAATGTCCGAGCAGAATGAATAAAAAACTTGAAACGTAAGAAAAAATTGAAAACTATCGATTAAAACTACTTTCCATAATTTTCCTATCAAATTATTTTTCAATTTTTTAAAAAGTATTTCTTGTTGCTTTTTCAGCAAATACTTTTTGTATGATTATTATCAATTTAAATAACTTTATCTAGTAACGGAAAATTTTCGAAACATGTTTTATTTACACTGAGACTTTTTTTAAGTTTGTTTTTGAAGTTCGAATCACGACGACTAGGCTTTAATATGATTCCACAAAACACATAGAAGCATGCATCAAAATACGGAAAAAAAGACCCTATGCCTTATTTCTTTCCCATCCTTTTTAGGGGCGGGGACATGGGTGATAAGAACAAACTGAATGCGGTTTAGGGGCGGATCTAGTATTTTCTCAAGGGGGGCGGAATTTCAAAAAATTTTGTTGACCTTTTTTTTAGGTCGACCAAATTGATTTTCCGAGCTCTCCCAAAGCACTACAAAGTCCGTTTTGACCAAAATTTCTGAGCCGCAGCAAAATTTCGAAAAAAAACAGGCCAAAAAGGCTTGTTCGGTATTGTTTGGAAAATGTTTATTTTTACCAAAAAATCGCGTTTTTTCGGCGCACGCTCCCCCTTAAAATTAGTGTATATTGGCGCCAAAGGCGCCTTTAGAAAAACTTCAGCGTCCGTCAGCCGAAAATAGATATCTCAAAATAATACAAAGGGGGGACCCTTTGGGTCGGCAGAGGGTCGAATCCCTGAGGGCAGAGGGCATCCGACCCCCCCCCCTCTAAATCCTCCCCTGATCCGGTTTCTGTGCAAATCGCTTAGAAAATAGAAAAGACTAAACACAGTGTTTTTACCGAGAAACTTTTTCTGCTTTTCTATTTTTGCATTTTGCTGATGCCCTGAGAGATATTGAAATAATTCTTGAAAATTTAACTAACAATATCTGAAATATGCTTTAAAACCTCTAATTTTAGTTTCAAAATAGTCCTTTCTTCTATAGGAGCGAGTTTTATTTTATTTTCTTTCCCGACAGTATTACTAAACTGAGGTACCTATTTATATCCACAATAAAAGCAAGGAAATTAATTTCGAATTTTAAAATTTTGTGTAAATGATCATACTTCTGAAAAAAAAACAATTCAAATAAAAATACTTAACAGTTCTTAATTTAGTTCAAATTTGTGACCTTGAATATGTTGTGCTGATCTGAAAAGCGGTCGAACAGAGTGTACATGGTGTTCAGGAGTTTCACAACGTCGGTTGGCTTCAGAGGACTGCAGATCTTTGTGAATCCTTTGATGTCAGTAAACACTATGCTCACACTCTCGTAGAGCTGAAACATAACTACTGATGCAATGAAATTTTCTCAAAAAAGAAACTAGCTTCATTTTATTTATAAAAACAGTTTTTACAGTAGTAAATTTTATCGATGTGAGATCTGAAAAATTTTCATTAAAATATCAAATTAGTCGGAAAAGTTTTGGATCTGTCCAATTTTGAATAGCATCTTTCGTTTGCCGAATTTGTGCAAATTGAGATTTTTTTATGCGTTTTCAAATTTTTTGAGTTTAAGCTTAATTATTGTTCACCCATCTTGATCTTTGAACTCAATACGGGACAACAATAAAATTTATAACAATAATCCTACCAAATTGTTTCGAGTCGAGGTCCAAACTCTTCAAGTATATATTTATAAATAACATTTAGAAAAAAAAAAACAGTTTTATACCTTGCAAGTGTCGACTGGGCTGACTCCTCTGCGCAACTGTTGGGCGATACTCTTCGGGATCATCTGGTACAGTAAGTCGTCTGTCTTCTTCATCTCCTTATCCAGGGTCTTCAGATTCTGCTCCAGCTGTCTGGCCTTCTGCTCCTCCTGACTGAGTGCCAGTTTCATCTCCACCGACTGCTGGGTTCCTGCCAGGACCAGTTCCCGACTGGAGTCGTGCATGCAGAGATCGTTGATGAACAGACCAGCTCGTTTCATATCCTCAAGATTCGCCAGTCTGAAATGAATCATCCGGAAAAATTCAGTGAAAATTATGTCAAACCAACATGCAACATCCTAACAAAGCCGTTCATATGCTCCTGTATGATTAGTTGAAAAAAAACTGATCGCGTGTTTTCGGGAAAACCGCCAAATAGCGGGTCAACAGTCTTTTCTGTTACAGGGTTCAAAATTAACTAATTATTAATTGATTTTCTGTTTAATATAATGAAACTGGTGATTTTCTTCAGCTGCATTTAGCTTCAACCAATCAGATTAGAAAATTATTATGTAACTTCAAAAAAAACATACAGACCCCTTATAAGTTTTGAGCTGTACAACAGAAAAGACCCCCCGGATTGGCGTGCGTGGCTGAGATATTAATTGCTGTTTCAGGCCATGATCAGCGGCCACTTATCCATGCTATCTGCATTTGCAGCACTGATTTTTATGGTATAATGCTACCAGCGGATTTAAGTTAGGTCCCCCTCTGTACTATTTTGAGATATCCATTTTTGGATGAGACATTAAAATTTTTCGGCACCTATATTTGCTAATTTTGAGGTAGAAGCGCGCGCCAATAAAGCGCAATTTTTTGGTCAAAACTTTCCAAAAATGTCCTAAGAACGCCATTTTTGGCCAAGTTCTTTTTAAAATTTTGCCTAAGCAGGGTCTTTTTTAGAGCTTTGGGAGACCTCGGAAAATCAATTTAGTCAACCTATAAAAAGGTCGGCATTTTATTTGAAAATCGCCCTCGCGAAAAACTTATATCCGGCCCTGTATAATGCTTAATCAGGGATGACTTCATTTCTGCGATGTCAATGCATGTCCTAATGTATGAGATGTGTTTACATGGGACTGGCGAGGTAGACGATGACCTGCCACTCCACCATCAGCACCATCTGACCCCGCAGAGCCAACCCATTGCTGCCCTCCTCCTGCTCCTCTGAACAAACAGACATCACGAGAACAAATTACCCTTATTGGGCAACACAGACCAAATAAACACCCACCCACCCCACTCCCTACAAATCCGGTCAAGGGGGACAAATTTTACTTGTTTACTAGAACAAACTTACTAATTCTACTAATTTTACTAGAACAAATTTGGCTACTATAAATGTCTTTTTTTCAGTCAATCAGAAGCGGTTAGTTTGCCCAAAATGGAACGCAAAGTTTTTAGAAAATGAATCGGAAAATTTTGTGCGGAAATTTTGAAATTCCTATTTGTTTTAATAAAATTCTTTTTTTTGCATATTAATTTTACACTACTAATATTCACGTTTTTCAACAATTTTGACAAGAAACTGTACCTTTTCCCAAATTGATTTTATTCGGATTGTTTTTTGTCGACCAGGAGATAGCTCACATGGTCTTTTTTTTTCGATGGAAGTGGGGGGGGGGGGGGGTCGTATTCTTCACATGGCACACACTTATACGCACAACACATATCGATATCAACAACATCAGTGAACACCAAACTGTTGGCAGCATCGGCGACCTTGAGCAACATAATCGGTCAAAAGCAATTGCGTTTTAGGTTAACTAGTTTTTTAACATAACGTGCTGCGAAATGACGAAAAAAACTGCAGTCCGGTGTGAGAAAAGAGTGGTCCAAAAGCAAAAAGGGTCTAAGCTGTGAGCGATAGGTATAAAGCAATTGGTCTTTTATGTGCTCGTGCTGGCAAGTCCCGAGCTGATTACGAAAAGGCTCGGAGAAAGGGGAGAATTTAAGGGGATTGGGGTTGGGGGCTTGGTTGGGCGACGACCTTTTGCCTCACAGATTTGACCTTCTCACCAATCAAAAGTTCCCCCCTTTGGTCTTATTTTTTGACATCCATTTTCTGCCGACAAACACTAAAATTTTTTTAATGTATACTAATTTTAAAGTGGGCGCGCGCCTAACGAATGTAATTTTTTTGGTCGAAGTTTTCCAAAAAGTGACAAAACACGGCATTTTTGACCCGTTTTTTTCAAAAATTTGCCTAAGGCGCAAGAATGTTTGTCAAATTGTGTCTTTATAGTGTTCTGGGAGCGCTCGGATAATCAATTTGGTCAACCTAAAACTAAAAAAATTCAACTGAATATTCGAGAAACTTTTGAACGCCCACTCCCCTCGAGTACCGACACGAGTGAAGCGCGCCCATCATCGGCCTTTGAGAAAGACTTTTCACCATTAAAGTTCTTTTTCTGGCATCACTGTCCTAACTTTCTGTTCTTGGACGCGGTTCGAACTTGTTATTTTCTGCTGAATTCTCCGCCTCCAATAAAAATGATTTCCAACGTCAAAATGAGCAATTAAGAAGAATTATAATTCCGCTGAGATATATCATACACGGGGGCCATTCTCATGCGCGAAGGACCGGATGTGCGAAAAAAACTCGTGAGCAAATGACCGAAAATAAAACTAACCGAAAGTCAAATTTTAAAAAGAAGCAATTGTCATTCAATTTAATGAAGCAAATATTTAGCTTCTTTTATAACGAAACTTTTGAAATACAAATTTTGTTCCAACTCGGCGGCGTCAGATTCAATATTTCTGCCGTTTTTATATTTGGCCAGTATCAATACTCATTCCCTGAAAATGTTTACTTTCTTTTCAAATTTTAGATTACTGAAATCTGATTGGCTGATTTTTATTTTCGCGCATTCGGTCCTTCGCGTATGAGGGATTCCACCATCATACACGTTTCATCAACAGAAAATCCATTTAAGCATAACAAACGACAAAGTAATTTGACATTTATTTTACAGCGAGGATAGACAAAAGGTTGGACAAACCCACTTAGCGCCTAGCCAAATTATGCTCAGATTCGAAAAGAAAAATGTCAACAATTTAACACTAACTATGAATGACAACAAATCCCCAAATTCATTTCATTCCAATTGGTTCAATTTTTTTGCTTCTTATTTTGATTTATATAATTACGCTGTAATGTTAGCGATGGAACCCCTCACTATCAAGAATCTGGAAAAATTTAAATTTTGGGTTGGAAATTTAAATTTTCCAACCCAAAATTTCCGCTCCGAAAGAAAACAATAATATACCGTTTTCTTCGAAAGTCGGAACAATAATGCTCAGAGCATTCATTTCAATAGTGGCCAATTAACAAATCAGCAGAAAAATTAATCTGGCTCTATCGTGCAGCAGCACGACTGCCGCTACCGAGACACGAATGATCTTTTTGTGTAAAAAAGTGAAAAAAATTGCGGGAAGTTTAAACTAACAGCTTTCCAGTTTTTGAATCAATATCATAGAAAACCTGACATGTCAACTTAATATATATTTCCCAGTAAAACAAAATGACCATGCCTAGTTACAATTACAATTTCTAATAATTTTCCAAAAAATGACTCGTCATTTTTTAATTTTACTTCAGTCTGAGCGAAAAAAGCAAAAAAAGGTACAAAGAAGTGTGTTAACTTATTTATCCTCCCTGTTTATAAATGGGAGCACTGAATTGAAAAACAAAAAAGGCCAATAAAAACGGAGGGTTCGAAAACCTGAAAAACGCTCCGAAAGAAAACAATAATATTCCGTTTTTTTCGAAAGTCGGAACAATAATGCTCAGAGCATTCATTTCAATAGTGGCCGATTAACAAATCAGCAGAAAAATTAATCTGGCTCTAACGTGCAGTACGAAAAAACTAACAGTGAAAAATTTAACAGTGAAAAACCAACCCAAAATTTAAGCATAACAAACGACAAAGTAATTTGACATTTATTTTACAGCGAGGATAGACAAAAGGTTGGACAAACCCACTTAGCGCCTAGCCAAATTATGCTCAGATTCGAAAGGAAAAATGTCAACAATTTAACACTAACTATGAATGACAACAAATCCCCCAATTCATTTCATTCCAATTGGTTCAATTTTTTTGCTTCTTATTTTGATTTATATAATTACGCTGTAATGTTAGCGATGGAACCCCTCACTATCAAGAATCTGGAAAAATTTAAATTTTGGGTTGGAAATTTAAATTTTCCAACCCAAAATTTCCGCTCCGAAAGAAAACAATAATATTCCGTTTTCTTCGAAAGTCGGAACAATAATGCTCAGAGCATTCATTTCAATAGTGGCCGATTAACAAATCAGCAGAAAAATTAATCTGGCTCTATCGTGCAGCAGCACGACTGCCGCTACCGAGACACGAATGATCTTTTTGTGTAAAAAAGTGAAAAAAATTGCGGGAAGCTTAAACTAACAGCTTTCCAGTTTTTGAATCAATATCATAGAAAACCTGACATGTCAACTTAATATATATTTCCCAGTAAAACAAAATGACCATGCCTAGTTACAATTACAATTTCTAATAACTTTCCAAAAAATGACTCGTCATTTTTTAATTTTACTTCAGTCTGATCGAAAAAAGCAAAAAAAGGTACAAAGAAGTGTGTTAACTTATTTATCCGCCCTGTTTATAAATGGGAGCACTGAATTGAAAAACAAAAAAGGCCAATAAAAACGGAGGGTTCGAAAACCTGAAAAACGCTCCGAAAGAAAACAATAATATTCCGTTTTTTCGAAAGTCGGAACAATAATGCTCAGAGCATTCATTTCAATAGTGGCCGATTAACAAATCAGCAGAAAAATTAATCTGGCTCTAACGTGCAGTACGACTGCCGCTACCGAGACACGAATGATCTTTTTGTGAAAACGCCTCTGCTGCTAGACCACTGGGAGAGAATTTTGATTTCGGTCTGTCAATTTTGTTTTCGGTTTCTGCATAATATATAGCGAAAAAAAAACTAGTCACAATTTTCTACTATTCTGATTGGCTGAATTTTTTTTTTTATAATTTGGTCCTTTTATCATGAGAATTGTCACCTATAGTTTTAGCGCTACTACAAACACATTTTGTTTTCATATACAGTACTGATTTAAATTAACCGGACAAAGCAAGCTAAACTTCAAATTTAAAACGCGTTTTTCTCTAATAGGGCTGAGTTCAGGTGAAAACTTATGAAGACAAAACTTGCTTAAAATTTTAGCAGGATTAATATGGTGTAATTTGTTTTGCAAAATTCGGGCCCAAAATTTTACCCCACAAATGGGCCATTTTGGCTTTTCTTAGTTAATCAAAAACTACGCCGAAAATACCCAGCCGATCACAGACATAATTATATCAAAGTGAGCCCCTTACGTAGCCCAACAAACTTTATGAAGGGTAGCTTTGTAAAACTAATAATTACCATGATCAATTTTACAATTTTTGTATCTGGGGCTGTGAAGACTTTTGTCTCATTTGATTTGATTTCAAATGCCAGTTTTTGTACCTTTTGATTTGATTGAATTATTTGTCTTTTTTTCCCAGAACTTTTCATTTTGCATAGACCATAATTTTAAAAAAAATGTCCGAGAAAGATTCTCACCTCTGTCAGGACCGACATTGTCCATGGTAGATAGCTCAAACACATTGTTCAGATGGTTCCTCACCTGAAAAAATATTTGCCGATTTGAAAGTTTTTTTGGTTTTTTCCATGAGAGAGAAACATTTGGCAGCTCCAATGAAAAAAAAACTGTAGCAGGAAAATTTAGTAACAGATACTAAAAAGTGACAGCTTTTTTCATACCTTTTTTTTCCTGCTTGTAAAAGTTCATGCATTGGTCAAATTGTATCGAATGCACAGTTTTTATCCCAGCAAAATTCACGATTGATCGATTGGTTAAAACAATGAGAAACCAGCTTAATGACCTTGCTCCAGACCCTAATATAATAATAAGAGTTAATGGTTTCACGGCCAAGTCTTATTATCAAAAATTGGTTCCTCAGTAATTACTACAACAAAATTCTTTCGAAAATTTTTCAGTTTTTTTATTACTTTTGGTTGTTGGAGTGATTGATTAAAAGCAACCTACTACATCTTTGTGCAAATCACAGCACATAAAAGCAATTTTAGCACGGCGTCCGTGAGTTCAATAACGTTAAATGGGTTCCGCATCAAAACTCAGATTCCATACTCATGTTTCGAGTGTTTTTAAAAACTACCCGGGTTGACCTCCAAAGACCAAAAATACTAATCATACAAATTTCATACATTTTGCTAAAATGGTTTCATCGAATTTTCAAAAATAATTTTTTCGACATAAAATAGGTATATCATATTAAATAAAAAAAAACAGTAGGACTAGCAACTTTTGATGGCAACGTTATTTTGATGGTGAAGTAATTTTGCAGTTTTTTGTTTTCAATTGCAAATTGAAATTCGTACTCAAACATTTTCCACAAAAAATTTGCATGCAAAAAAAATAATTTTTGTGTGCATAACACAAAATTTGAATTTTTTCTCCGTTTCTCTGGATAACATAACTCGAAAAAGCTATAAATAAATCTATTTCTTTTATATGGCATGTTTATGTTTTTCTTTATTATTGTCTGACAATTGAAAAATTCAAATTTCAAAATAACCATCTTTGAAAGTTTTGCGAAAAAATAAAATTTTGATGCTTTCAGTATATCATTTGTATAACAAAACATTATTATACAATTCAGATAGTTTCCACTGCATTGTAAATACAAAACGGTCAAACCGTTGGTGACTCTATTTTTGAGTTAATCATGGTTTTTGTCACTTGTGTTCGGCTACGAACACATTCCAAAATTTTTGAGAAACTAAACATAAAAAAAATTTTTTTTCTCGATTTATGGAAAAATGCTAATCCTAAAATTTCCATTTATGAAAAACCACTACTCATCGATTTTGCATGCAATTTTTTGTACTTATGGAATTGCATGAAAATTGTTTGATTAGCTTTTTTCCACATATGAAAATTGTATGACTAGCATTTTTATTCAATTGCTAGAAAAACTTTGGTAAATAAACCAGCCGAGGTATCAACCAGCCGAAAATACGTAAAAGTTATATTATACTTGTGTAGTTGTTGTATAACAAGTATGTAACATTTATAAAAGTTATGAAAATTCATTTATATGATGTTATTTTTCGGCCGGCTTATATTCCGCGCATTTTTGGTTTTCGTTTGACTTATACTTCGGCTGCTTATTTTACTATCAGAAAAACCATCAGAATTCAAGTTACTTTTGACGAAACCAGTCCTGCCTAGTGAATTCCTTGTTGCCACATGTTCCTTGGTTTTACTGAATAAATTCTGGATCAAATTATATCAATATAACATTTATTTTCTTCAAACAATTTTCTATTTGACTTTAAACCATAGAAAAAAAATCACATAAGATAAAAAAATAGCCATTTGACCTTCCACTAAAAAAGAATGTGGTAACTACTAAAACAAAAAACTTCTTTATATTTTTAGGAAATTTTTTTTCAATATTTTTTTGCGACATTTTCCGCACACTTTTTAGAAACAGAAAGCCGTAAAAACCAGTAAAAAAACCCCATGAGGTATTTCAATAACAATTTTTTAAATCTTTATATCTTTTCAACCTCTATCTTTTTCAATATCTTTTTAACCTCTATGACAGAATTTGCGAATTTTTAATGAGTTCAACTAATTAAAATTTTTTGATTATAATTTTTGATTTTTTGACCTTTTCGGCAGATTTTAAAAATCAAGTGAGTTCAATAAATTCTATGGTGTCTGCAAAAAAACTCTACGCTCATATTTGTAAAAATATGTTGCATAGAGCAGCTTTTCAACATGGCCGTTAACTAATATGTCAGCCACTTTCAAAAAATATATATCAGTTAAAATATTTTGATTAATGACCAGAAAATAGATCAAATTTTATGAATTGCAGGTAATTTTTAATTATTAAGAAAACATCAGACTAAAACAACACAAAACCTACAACTGGAATTTTGTGAAATTAAAAAAACGTCCCGATTGACGCCAAAAACAAGTCTGAAGTATTGTGAATACGGTGATTATCGCATCACATCGCATCACATTTTTTCCAAAAATACGGTGACCAATAACTTTTTTCCAAAAATACAGTGACCAATACGGTGACCAAAAACTTTTATCCAAAAATGCGGTGACCAATACGGTGACCAAAAATTTTTTTCCAAAAATACGGTGACCAAAAATCGCATCACATTTTTTCAAAAAGATTATAACAATTTTTATTCAGCTATGGGCAATTTTTGACGAGCAGAAGCGGTTATTTAAGGACAACTGGAACCCAATAAAGATAAAAAATGCCCACATCCATTATTTTTTGTCCATGGTCGGAGCAAAAATCTATTTTGACCATCAGACTATATAGTAAAATTAATTGTTTCGACTTAACGCGCATTTTAATTTTTTAGACTGAAAGTCTTGCATGCATTATCCTGTTTTTCCTCGATTAGGTAAGACTGCCTCACCCTCAAGCAACGAGCATGGATTATGATGGGCCTTGAAACACTGAATTTCAGTTACCTGGATTGCTCTAATATCTTGGCCAGGTTTTAGAATTAGATTTTGAAGCATTATTTTAGCAAATTAGCCAATTATTACGAGCAAAAGATCAAATAGGCTTAACACAATATATCAACACTTATTCAGTTCGATTGCATCATTCTGACATTTTGAATATAATCAAGTTTTTCAAAATATTGACATTTAAACTGCTTATTCACCCGCCTTTTTTCTCTTCTGACCGTGACACTTTAAATTGAGTTCTTTGTTACCTCGTTTTTCCCCATTTTAAGTAGTCCCTCCAAACAATATGAAAAGAAAAAAAGAATAAATTTTCAATAGAAAAAACAACTTTTTATTTTTTTAGTCTTTGAAATGTCTTGCTCAATGTGACTTTGAAAAAAAAACAACAAATATAATATAATTACATTGTTGTATGTCAAGGTGATGGGTGGCTTTTTGAGCGTGAACACTTCGTCTATGGCCCTGCCCTGGGCATCGTCCATGATAGTCTTTAGACTGCTCCCAACGGCCACTATGACCATGTTCTCATTGAAGACCACGTTGAAGGGGAATAGATAGAAGAATAGAGAGCTAGACATCAGAAATAGTCATAGTCAGACTAAACACATCTACCATCTATGGGTATAAACCAGTATAGCTCTCCCCTCGGCGTAGAGAGGGATAAAATCAGCGATTAACAATGGGGGTAAACACAGGGTAACGAGAAACACAAAAAAATCGATGAGCACTTTAAAAAAAGGCTCTATAACATAGCGACATGAACTTTTTTGGCGCGCATTCTTCCTCAAAATAAATGTATATTTGCGCACAATGCAAATAAACAGTACCAAAAGAAAAACTTTTGGAGAATGCAGTTGCGTGCGCAGAAAATTCTCTAGGGGAGGGCGGTTTTTTGAAAAGTTTTTTTTTTGTTTTTAGGTTGATCAATTTGATTTTCCGAGCTATCCGAAGATACTATAAGGAGCTTTTTTAGCCAAAAATTTTAGGCGTTTTTGGGCACTTTTTGAAAAACATTGACTAAGAAATTGCGTTTTTTCGGCGCGCGCTCCTCCCTTAAAATTTGTTTATACTGGCGCCGAAGGCGCCTTTAGAAAGTTTTTGAGGTTGATCAGCCTAAAATGGATGTGTCGTAAAATAATGCCAAAGGGGGGAGCCTTTGGAAAATTTTGGCAACCAGAAATGAGGGGGAAGGAGGGCCCCCCGCTTCCCCCCTCGGCACGCTACTGAGAAAATGCCATCATATAGGTTGTGAGCTCTGGCTTTTTTCTGGCTCCTTTTCTGGCTCAGTTAACTGAAAAACCATTTACAATGACTTTTATGTTCTTAACTGCAACAAAACGTGTCAGCGTGAACAAAATAACAAATTGACATGTGAACTTTTTACATGCAAATTGCCGTATGAACAACTTTTCAGCAAGTGTATTTTTCTTTATATTTTTATGAGGGGGTGGGAAACTGGAAAAGAGCCTCAACTCTGCCAGATTCGGTATCCCCTCGGAATTTTTTGAGTTTTTAAGGTTAAATGAAGGAAATCAGATCAAGAAAACTACCGCTCATAATAAAGTGACTGGTCCGCCGGCATCGTCTAATCTTTACCCAACACTTAATGTTTACTAATTTTTACCCAGGCTTTTCCACGAAATTCGATCCGTGAGTCGATCCCTGTGAGTATCTTATGACTGCATAAATGTGCTCACTAAATAATTCAATCAATCAAAATTCCTTCTAAAGTTATTCTGGGAGACTTTTCAAACCTTTTACTTATGTCGCCTATCTTAGTAGGAGTTAGGGGGAAGGGGGGCGGGGTGTGAGGGGTTCTTACGAAGGGGGGGGGGGTTGTTAGATAGTGCTCGACTGCGTGACTGACTTAGTAATAATAATAAATTGTATAGTAATAATGGATAGTTTCCAAGTGAAGCCATCACACGTACAGAATTACAAATGAATAATTTTTTTAATAGAAAAACATCACTTGAGAGAGACTGACTTGCTGATGGTGAGGTCGTTCCTGAGACTGCTGCGGGGTCTGGCGTCGTCGGAGGTGTTGGAGAGAGTGTTGTCGAACTTCATCCTGTAGGAGATGTTTGTCATGTCGCTCACAATGTTTTCACTCAAGATGTCAATCATCACATTTGTGTTGTAGAACTCACGACACACTGCCTCCAGTTGGCCTGATCAAAACAAAATGGCGACATAACCTCCACCCCCCCCCCCCCCATATGGCTACAACTTTCGTAACTAGACTAATTGTGGGGGGGATGGGCTCTTTTTCCTTCCCCCCTCCCACCTCACACAAGCATCAATTTTATGGTTTAAGGATTGGTTTTACAAGGTTAATTATGAAGATCAAATATGTTTGCCAGGGCCTAATCAGTCTGCATGTCAATTTTTATGACAATCGGACATTGTGAACAGTAACTTGAGTTATAAAAATTTGCAGGTGGGGTGGGGGGGGGGGGGGGTGGAAGGAAAAAGAGCCGGGGAATGTTACGAAAAAAAATTAGATTCGACAAGTGTGCGCTCAATCTCCGTTATTTGGTAAAACTATGAAGTCGAATGCTTTGAATTATAAAGAGTATTTATCGGCAAAGACTCTCAGAAAAATCAATATTTTATCATAATTTTGGTCAAGCATAACATCATATAACTTCAATTCTGAACTGTCCGTTTTTGGTACAAAACGGCGCAAGCTAGCCACAAGAACCGGTCGGTAATGTCCTTGAGACAAATTGCTCTTTTTGGCGGTCAACCTTAATCAAGGCTGAACCGAATTAGAACCAAAAAAAACAGTAAAAAACGGTCAAATGGGGCTATAGCCCCTCGGGTCTACATGTTTTAAGGTCTGCATATGGGGGGACTCGAACCCGGTTGACCGGCGTGAGAGACTTGTCTCTAGGCCGCTCGGCCAACTGTGCTTATTGTTGTTACATTTTAGTTCAGTTTTATATGCATCTATACTCTACATTCTATACTCTACATTTGCATTGCAACATCCTCCCCCCCTGAAGAAGGAAGAACCGGAGCGAGCTTAACGGTCGGCCGCGTGACTTCACGGGTTGCGGTCCTGACAAGGGCGGATCGGGCGCAACCGTCCTGTCCGTAGTTTAGCTTGACGATTCGGGCGAGAGGGTAGTACCCACGCGGACTATCGGGCTCAATCACCCACACGAGATCGCCTGTTTTAAGAGTAAAGTCAGAATGAGTGTGCCACTTGACACGCTTATTCAGCGAGGGAACATATTCTCGAAGCCAACGAGACCAAATCGCGTTAGCATATGACTGCGCTCGCACGTACCTTTTCTTGTGATCGAAGTGCTCCCCGGGTAAAAGCGAAGGAAAGCTTGTGGCATGTTGTCCAAGCAAAAAATGGTTTGGGGTTAACGCTTCTAACTCACGTGAATCGGTACTAACGGGAGTGATTGGCCTCGAATTCAAAGCCTGTTCAACTAAGCAGAGTGTTGTTCCTAACACCTCTTCAGTGACTCGCCTACTGCCTAGGATATCGTACAGCACGCGCTTCACGCTTCGGACGAGGCGTTCCCAGGAGCCGCCATGATGGGGTGCGCCTGGCGGGTTAAACTTCCAAGTAACACCTTTGTGTGCAAAAATGGTCGGAGCCATGCCATTCCAGCTCTTGATGCAGGCAAGTAATTCCTTTTCCGCACCAACGAAGTTCGTGCCATTATCCGACCAGATTGTGCTTGGCGTACCACGGCGCGCAACGAACCGTTCAATGCCCATGACACACGAACTGGTGTCCAGAGACGGTACAATCTCAAGGTGTACAGCCCTGGTAGTGAGGCAAGTAAAAAGAAATCCCCATCTTTTTTCCGTGCTTCTGCGAACCGGAACGTAAAGCGGTCCAAAGTAATCCACACCCGTATGATTGAAGGGTGGTTGCTTGTATCCGAGACGTTCGACCGGTAAATCGGACATAATTGGCTGGATGGTGCTTGCTTTGCGTTTACGGCATGTCACACATTGATTTTCGACAGACCGAAGTAGTCGACGCAACCCAAGTATTGCAAATTTCATATTTAAAACGGAGCGCATGTAATCTAATCCTTGATGAAAATGCTTATGGTGGAGGCTGCGGGCCAACAAACGAACTAAGGTATGTCGGGCGTCGAGTATTATTGGGTGCTTAGTATCAAACTCGGTATCCACTAAGCGCACAATCCGTCCGGTGGAACGAATGATTCCAGCGTGACCGATAAATGGCGAGTATGTGGCAATTTTACTACTATTCTTAATAGGTTTGCCAGCGGTGAGTGTTTTTAACTCAACGGGAAAGGATTCCATCTGAGCAAGATGAATCAGTTTGCTTTCTGCAATATCAAGTTCAGTGGGGTCGGTGATTCGTAAGTCTTTACCACGAAAATGCTTATGTGAAGGCAACACCCTCAACATAAAAGCGACTACTCGTTTATATCTTGTAAAGGAACTGAACCTTTCCCAATTGAACCCGTGTTCGGGATGTTTGATTGATGTGACATCGGTGACGAAGGAAGATGATGTCTCCAAGCAATTATCAACATCACAAGAAGGACCCTTCAAACGAATTTTATTGATTACACGTTCGTCGGGTAAAAACGGCCAATCAGTAGTCCTGAGAATGCTCGGACCAATAACCCAGCTGCTATCCTTGAGGGCTTCCGAAGAAATCCCCCGCGTACCGGTATCAGCTGGATTATCGCCGCTCAGAACATGGTGCCACTCATCAATAGTGGTCGACTCGAGGATTTCGCCGACACGATTAGCGACGAATACAGGTAATTTTTCAGTGGAGTTTAGCCACTGCAAAACTGTTGTACTATCTGTCCACATAAAGACATGATTAATAGAGACGGTAAGGGCGGTCAGTATATCATCTTTTAGTCGTGTGGCGAGCAGAGCAGCTTGAAGCTCTAGCTTCGGTATCGATAGCGCTTTCATGGGCGCAACGCGAGCTTTACCAAAGATGAAGGATATTTGAGTTTTATGCGAGCTCGCGAGTCGCGCACGCAAAAAACCAACAGCACAGAAAACGTCCTGCGAGCTATCACCGAACATGTGGAGCTCAATTTGATCAACAGGCTCTGTGAAGTAACAACGGGGAATAGTCAATTGCCCTAAGAGAGGGAGACCGGAGTGCCACTCGAGAAACTTATCTCTTATGTCTTCTGGCAATTCGTCGTCCCAACTTTGACCACTGATTTTCCAAATATCTTTCAGTAAAAGACGGGCCCTAACTGTGTATGGAGCTACTAACCCAACAGGGTCAAACACAGAAGAGACGAAACTCAAGACGGTTCGTTGAGTTATTGCTTTATCGAGAGGACGATCCACGCCTCTGCTAACAACCAATGTGTCTTTCACATGGTCCCACTTAAGACCTAAGACGTGTGATGATCGTTCGGCACCGTTACATATTTCCTTGATGGGTGAAGATGAGGTTTCGGATTCCTCGGGGTTCATTGCTGAAGTGATTTCATCAGCATTACTGACAAATTTAGTCAAATTAAATCCTCCCACTTTTAGTAAGGAATCAAATCGCGACTAGTTTTAATTGCTTGGGTAACGTTCTCGAATGAATCCAAGTAATCGTCCATGTAAAACTTTTCATTTACGACTGAGGCGGCCTCAGGGTATGTGGACATATTATCAGTTGCTGTTTTTTGCAACGCGAAATTGGCGCACGTAGGTGAATCCCGTGCGCCGAATATATGGCGAGTGTACTGATGAACTACCACATCGGAAGTGGTATCCTCCCGCCACAAAAAACGGAGCGAAATTTGATCGCGGGCAAGGACTCCTACCTGGAGGAACATACCCTCTATATCCGCGGAGACGGCGTACTTATGTTGACGGAATCGCAAAAGCACAAAAATTAAATTTTGGAGTAGGTCAGGACCCACCAATAAGGACTTATTTAAGGATGTGCCGTGAAACTTAGAAGCCCCATTAAGGACTCGGCGCACCTTACCCGGCTTATTCGGATTTATGACGGGATGGTGCGGAAGATACCACTCGCGATCGGAACGCTTACGTGGATCATGCGGTTCGACGGTAACGACATAGCCTTTCCTAATGTCCTCTCTAATGGTTTCTGCGTATCTTTCGCGCAGCTCAGGGTCTTTACTTAACCTTCTCTCCAATGATTTAAATTGGGCGAGTGACGAGTAATAATTGTTTGGTAGACTGACATTACTATCAATCCAAAGCATAGGCACAATGTATCTTTCGCCATTGTGAACGGTTTCAGAATTGAGGATGGATAAAGCATGTTTATCCGCGGCGGAACGGGCATCGACTTGTTTGAAAGCACCATACGATTCCAACTCGTACCAGGATTTTATCTGGTCGGTCAGAGAAGAATCTTCAACAACACACTTGAAACACGAAGAAGTAGAATTACCGGACGGCGGCAACGGACCACTTAAGACCCAACCTATCGGTAGGCGAACGGAACACGGTGAGTTTTTATCATCTCCCAAGATGAACTCAATGGGTCTAACGGCGTGGTAGTAGTCTTGTCCGATAATAATTTCAACGTCCTCATAAGTATATTGAATGGGCTTAATAGGTGCTAATTGTGGATATTTATTCTGCAAATCAGCAATATTGATTAATTCGGAACCAATCCGAATACTGTCTTTAACATATGCACAGAGAGAAAATACGAAATCACTATTATTCGGCTCGGAGGAAACTGTAAACTTGACTCTCTGAGTCTCAACAACGGTGGTCGAATTGAAACCACTAATTGACAAGTTAACGGGCTCCCCTACTAAGCCGAGACGCTTTACGAGTGACGAAGACACCCAGGAGTGAGTCGATGCACTATCACAAAGAACCAACGTCAGGAGACTGGTTACATCCGAGGATACACCAAGTGTTGCAATTGGCAACAACCCTTTAGAAGATTCAATGTCAAGTACATCACTAACAGCGGCATGGGTGGAAGTGTTTGTATTCTCCTTGGATTTGTTTGTTCCAGCCTTATTCGAGACATTTGAATTTTCCTTCCGAGGAAATATTCTTTCGGCTCCATGGAGCAAGACATTATGTGTGCTATCACACTCTGGCTTCGGGCACTTTTTTGCTCTAGAATATTGCCGGAAACTATGATTGCCATTGAGGCAAGCGAAGCAAAGTTTCTGTTCAGCTACGTATTTTGCTCGCTGAGTAG